ATTATTTCTTTCAGTGCAATCGAAGAGGATAAGTTATGCCCCAGCAGGGTTAACCGTGGGTGCATTTTGTTTTTCTTGCCACAGCATCGATGTCTCAATCTCTGTGTCCTCCAGCTTACCATGGTCCAGTAGCAAAAATAAGTTATGGCGGTAGATGGCGCGAGGGTAGGAGTACCTCGTGGGGCCGCCTGGTGGGAGCGCTAAGCGCGCCCCTCGGTCTTACGGCCTCCTGATTTTAGGGTAGGGTTCGGTCGGGGCCTGTCAGGGAACAAATTAGATCGTAATAATCCTGTAAAATAAGAAAATTACGACGGTAAGTTGGGTCGCGTACTCAAACCTCGGGCGGGCACACTGAAGTACGCATCAATATCATCGCTAACCCCCAACCGGAGCAACGGCGAGCGCGTGTATGTCGGGGGTGTGTGCTCTGACCTCGGGCGAAGTCACTGAGGTACATTTTCTAGTAGTACCACTAACCTCAACTAGAATAAAGGCGAACGAGCGTAGAAAGTTGAAGATTTTGGAAACTGGCCCTACTTAAAATTTGTAAGTAGGCGATTATTCTCGTGGTTAACTTGAAAAAGCCATTTTGCTTAGTATACTGACTCAAGTGGTTATTATATGCGGTGGCCTTCTGAGGACCCCTCTGCAGTCCAGTGCCACCATCCCATCCCTGCTGGATCGACGGCTGGAGTACAGAAAACTGGAAGATTGTAAGTAATTCAACCTACTTAAAAGTTGTAAGTAGGTGATTATAATACAGAAGAAAATTTCGAAGACCCCACGAGGAATCCTTACCGGCGTGAATACAGCCGTCGGGTCCACGACTGCGTGTGGCGCGCCTTCAAGTAGTTAGCAACCACCCAAGCGCGTCCTACCAATTTCAAAGCTAGACTGACTGTTTATGGCGAGGAAACCCAGCTCGCTACTTTACCTCGCACGCGTACGTCAATTTTGCGTCGGAGGTTAATACACGAAAGAGGACGTTTGGTTCAGATCCTGCGTATTACCAGAAAAAGGCAAATGATGATACCGTGTTGTTCATACTGCAGTTGATGTAAATTAATCGTGTGGGCACCTCGAAGAAAACGGGCGCAGTCATTTGGATTTGGGGATCGCTAATAGGTTTAAACTTGATGGTGGCTGCGGTGTTGGCAACACTAATAACACTTATATTAATCATAGTGGTAATGGTAAAGGTTACACGATGGCGGAGGTAGTACAAGTAATATTAACGCTGCTCGTAGTGACTGTGGCAAAATAATTGTAATAGTCATAGATATAGTAATAGTATTAGCCGTAATAGTAATAGCAGTAGTAGTAGCAGTAGTAGTAGAGACGTTGCTTGCATGAACGTCGCCTGATAAATTTATGGTTGTATCAGTACCTGACGCACTCGTCATCGACGATAGTCTGCCTGTGGCTACCGATTGCCATCGGATCATTGCAGCCAGCCCATGGCCGTCATTTGGATTTGGGGATCGCTAAAAGGTACTGAAAGCAGTGGTGGCGCGATGTCGACAACACTAATTATAATAGCCTCAGGATTGATCTGAAAACACATGCGCAAATGGGCGGGGGTGGACGTGAACAGAGGCAATACTGTGCCGGCAACGTGGGGGGAGGGGAATTGCAAGCTTTTGAGGTCAGTAGTGGTGACAGCTGTAATCGAAGCAGAGGGGGAGGAGGAGGCAATAGTAGGTAGGTCTTGAAACAGTGGGGGCGGGCGGAAGCATTGTGAGAAAAGGCGATTAAAAGGCTAAAGAGCCGAACGGGGGTGTGGGGGCAATATTAAAGCACCACTTAAATGGTACTTGGCCGGAGGACAACTTTTAACACCAGTGTGCATTCAACCGGAAACAAAGGGTCAACACGAACAGAATTCTTGGAGGAAGGGGGCTCGGGCAAACAGTTCAGAGGAAGAAGGAACAGCCTTTCGTAAGATTGAAACAATTGGAATCAGTCTAACAGGAAGTCACTAGAAATGGACATGGAGAATTTCCAACCTGTTCAATTGGAAATAACAATAGCGATGGAGAGTAGATATTTATTGTAGGTCCGCCCAGTAGGAAAAGTCCCCCAGCCCGAGTGTCTTACGGAGTTCGTGATTAAAGGGGTAATATGTGATTAATGGGTGTTCAATGCGTGATAACTGTGCAATAAAGAGGAAAACAAGTCGCTTGTACATTTTTACCCAACTAAAAAATACAGGTGAAAAGGTTGCGGGAAGAACAAAGAGGCTGAAAAAGACGCCTATAGACTAAGACATTTATTAGATGAACTGTTTGCTAACATAATCAAAGAAGTGTTGGATAGGCGGAAATTCGACATGATGAAAAGGTGCAAATAGTTTTTTTTTTAATTGGCCATACCTTCCCCCAGGCCCTATTGTAAATCCCCACCCGGTGAAATGAGCACGGCTGCAGATGTTGCATAAATACCTGACGCATTAGTCATTAATGGCAGTCTACCTGTACTAACACATTCCCACTTGAGCATTCCAGCCAGCCCGCAGCCACCTTCTTTATCTCCGCATCTCACTACCTCAGATCGGCAG